CGCAAGGGGTTACAGGGTGTTGAGGAATTAGGGACACAATACATTAGTAATAGGTAGAAAGAGAAAAGAACAATCAGGAGGACAGTAGATAGCGATTGCATTTAAATTTTTGCAGATTAAAGTTGGCTGGAAAGCATGGAACCGGAAGGGATGTTCACAAGCAAGAAGTGCGAGAAAAGAAACTCTCAGCATAGAACTTACGGCTGTATCTAGCCAGCTCAGCTGTTAACTGATGAGATTATGACGTCAGTCTAGTACTGCGCTTAAATTTTAAAAACTCTAGGTACCATAGCGAAGAACTCATCCGAACAATTGCCATGATGTATGACGTATATGAAAGACACCGAGTGGAAACCTGGCGGCGGCGATGGGAAAATGAATGAGGCCGAGCTGCCAGATCAGGACTAATAATATTGCTGATTCTTCTTTGGATTCTATCAAGGACCACGAGGTAGATTGCAGAGGCACCGGACCATATATGTCAGCAATATCCTAAACAGGGACGAATGGTAGATTTATAGATATGCAAGATAAATTCTGGATAGAAAAATTGTCTCGCCCGGCACAATGAACCAACTTTCTTAGCAGCTGACCTAGCAATTGATTCAATATAGTCTTTCCACATCATGTCAGCTGAGAACATTTGCACGAGAAGGCGCAATGAGTCAATTTTTTGGAGGTTAGCATCAGCCATGCTGATGGAAGGTAGAGAGGGGGTCTCTCAGATAATTAATGGAGAGAAGTTTAGTTATAGTTTTTAGAGGCGTTAAAATTAACAAGCCATCTTTTGACCCAGTTAACGACGGGCTTGAAGTTACTTTGGACGTCGGCTGCCATTTTGACCTTGTCCAACTGATCAGCCTTTCTATCGAAGCAGGAATAAATGGCTGAGTCGTCAGCGTAGATACCTAGTTCAGAGCTGATGAAATTGAGAAGGTCATTAATGAAAATTAAAAACAGAGTAGAACCAAGGATAGATCCCTGGGGAACATCCGTGTTAGTACGAAAGGCTGTAGACGAGTGGCCGTTCAGGATAACTTTCATTTCATGATGAGATAGGAACGACAGTATCAGCTCAAAAATGTGTCCGTAGATAGGGTAGCTTTTCAGCTTGTGTAGAAGAGTCGAATGCCAGACCCTTCGAGAATGTCCAATGCTAAAGAACCGTCTTCACTGTTTTTTTATATAATAGATTCTTTCCGCCATTATGTTTTTATATAATAGATTCTTTCCGCCATTATGTTTTTATATAATAGATTCTTTCCGCCATTATCGTTAGTTCATCAGTAGTTGACCTCTGAGATACGAAAACCATATTGCTTGCCTGATAAAAGGTCCTAAGATGGGAACATTGATTAGGGCCTCTAGGATTTTCCCAAAAAGAGGCAGGACGCTAACAGATCGATATGGATCTGAAGGTGCACCAGAATTCTTCAAAACTGGAACAACAGACGATGACTTCCAGCAGGAGGCATTATATTATACAGTTTAGAGAGAACAGGAACTAGTTAGGAGCTCACTTATATATATATATATATATATATATATATATATATATATATATATATATATATGTTAGAAATTATTAGGAGGATTTGATAATTATATTTAAGTAATTCATCGAGTCTGACAGAAATCTCAACAGAATGCAGAAAGTAGTGGACGGCCGTTTCGTCCTATATTTGGGACTCATCAGCAGTGCACATCCACTACCGAGAATTGAAACACTGACAGTTAGGTTGACAAGCAAACATCATACCAACTGTTCCTGGTCGGCGGCTGATGAAGACAGGGTATGGCACGTGCTAACACACGTTGTATGTTATATATATATATATATATATATATATATATATATATATATATATATATATATATATATATATATATATATGCTCTGTTTTACAATAAGCAGTATTAACAACATTTACTGGCTTGATTGTCCGAGAAATTTTCATAGAAAATATTCGTCTTCCATCAGGAGTCGAACCTGTATCCTATACGGAATCGTCATATAGCCTGATGTGCCTTAACCGATTGAGCCTGGTAGATTTTGTCTGTATTTAAATGAGCCACAATGGAACTATGGTCAGTTAGGTGTACCGTAAGTCGTCTGGATAGGTGTGTAGTAATGTGACCGATGTAATTATTCATCAGTTTCGTTTGGTCAGGAACACAGTTCCTTAAGGGGCATTTGAATTTGTATAAACATCAAGAATTTACTGCTTTTAAACTTCAATCTTCTATGAATCTCTCACGTACATTTATATCTGCTCGATGCGTATCCAAATGTAAACAAATGACGTCACACATTATGAAATGGACAAAATCCGACAATTATTTTAAGACATTTTTATGTTTATACATTCTTTTTATAGATACAAATATTTAAGTAAATGCTCTGTTTTATAATAAACAGTATTAATAACATTTACCGACCTGAATGTCTGAGAAATTTTTATGGAAAATAGATTCCTGTCGGAGAACGACTATTTTCTAT